TTTACAACTAGGAATTTATAGGTGTGTACTAAACCTTTCTTCTAACATTTTTTTTTTTTGTCTATTCACTATTTTTCTTGATGCTTCCATTTCCTCTCTAGTTATTTTATATAGCAACATTTTAAGGAGAAATGATAGGCTAGTACTAATGTAATTCAAAACTAAGAATGTTCTCCCTACCACCTTAAATCCATGGTATTAATAGGAAATTACTACACACTTTGATATTCAAAGCATATGTATTTTATTCATATACTGTACTCAGTAATTGCTCGTCCAAAAGATAAATGGTATATTTTATGTTTTAGGAGTTATGGCATTTTTTGGAGACATTCACTTGAAATTGCATTTTCCTTAATCTGTGAGATAAATAATGGGAGATATTTGAAAATAATCACTATATAAATTGTAGGTTAGATTCGTCAGAGCCAAAGCTCTGCAAAGCCATGGAGAAAGGTAGTTTTTATTTGCAATTCTGGAAGAACAATTTTTCTGACTTATGTGATTCATATACATGCATGTTAGACTCTAGTAAAAGAAAGTCAGGTTTCCAGAAAGTGAAGCATGTAATAAAGATGAAGGCCAGGTTCCATGTTCTGAATATTATAAATGGTGTAGCTATCTTCCTCTCAGTTTTCTAAACTTGATTATTCATTTCAAGGATGCATTAAAGACCTCCTTTTTCTAACTATACCCTTTCCATTAATGTTGAACAATGTAAACATGAATTGTTTGTAAACAAATGTCTTCAAAGGGTTTAGACCAAATAATACTGATTGCAATGTATTTCTCTGAGAACTTTAAAATAGACTGGGATTGTGGCAGTCAATTTTATTTTATGTCACCTTCTTCTATCAGGCTTTCATACAATTAACATTTGATTATGATGTGAAATTTCTCACTGTGCCCAGGGTCAATCAGCATTGCCAAACGCCTGGACTTCAGGTGGATTTTTCTCTACACCAGAGGCTTTCCCATTAGACCAAACCTCATTCTGTTCTTTCTCACTAGAGAATGCATCCCAGAAAGAGCCTATACATCCAGAGAAACAGGTGCTAAATTCTTCTTGGAGTGTGCAATCAGACTGGCAAGCATTTCTATTCTAGATGCTTTTTTTTCCCCCTGAGGGAATTCACTGAAATCTGGGCACAGTTGATCAGCTCGCTTTCCAGAGGAAATTCCACTCCAAGGACCTCACTTAGATATACACCAATGTTTTTCCTATTGAAAAGCCCTGAATTTTCTGAGTGCTTCATTCGATAGAGTTAGTCCCTTCAAAGTGTCATTAAAACCAAGATATTTTGACTCTTTTTGCCATTTAAGTTCCAAAATTTGGGGAGGATTTTTGAGATAATGTGCCATGCAACAGATTATTTGCAGATGTCTGGAACGATAACGATGACGATAACATTTTTCTGTTTTTGACGATATTCATTTTTGTAGAACCTATGAAGATAGTAGAATGGTTACCTAGTCAACAATTACTTGAATAGATGTTAGTATCAAAGTGATGAAGATTTATTTTGATCTCTTTATTCAACCATTGGCCATCAACTCTGAGGTCGAAAGTGTTATCTCTCTTGCTGGAAAGGTAAAATCCTAGCATCTAGCACAAGGCCTAGTTCAATAATAGGCAGATACTCAACAAATATTTGTGATATAAATGAATGATGAATATATTTCTAGTGAAGCAATAATTTATTCTCAAATATGGGGTCATTTTAACATTAAAAAGGAGAGTCCAATAATTTCTTTTGAAGAAGAGGATGTGAGCAGTAGGAAATAGGGAAGGTCTATCCTTTCTTATTTTATGTTACTGCACTTCCAAGATAATGTAACTTGCACATCTTCTTTCCCCACCACACTTTTTTTTCTTTGCCAGCTTTTGATCCGCTTGCTTTTCCTATTCTCAAGCTTTGATTCTCCTTATATCTAACCAAAGAAACATATTTCAGACCATCATATCCTCTCTCCAACTATATTTGCAAATACACTGTAATGCACATATTGATAATGGATCTTTGGAATAAGACAGGCCATGTTTACCGTATCTAATAGACAGCTCATGAACTGTGAGTCCATTGATTGGCGTGGAAGTTTAACAGGACCTTGAAGGTTGACAAGACTTTAGTAATTTCATATTACTAAATAGTTACAGCCTAATAGTTACAGTCGTAATTGAATTTAAAAGGAAGTTTAACTTTAATATGTGTTGATGAAAATGATGGATTGGATAGGGGGAAAAGCTAGAATAGAATCTGAGGAATGTCTTCTCTTGCACCTATCAAAGTTCTATTTCTTTAAGTATACTGTGAATCCCAAAGTGTGTATCTAATCACACAATGAAAACAAAGGTAGTTGCATTACAAAGCATGTGACATCATTTACTTTCAAACACAGCAAAGTGCATTGAAAACAGATGACTGCAGGTTCTTAGCTCACAGTGCCATGCATTAAGACTAGCACTACATAATCACAGTGGCGATGCAGGTGTTACATATATGTCATTAAGATGAGGTTTGGTTTTGTTTTTAACTCATTAAGAGGAGTGATTACTAACTGGTAGGATGCATTTTGGTGGAAAATAAAATCACCTCAGGTATATAATTTTCTGTTAGAAAACAATTCAATAGACACTTAGAGCTGGCTCTTTTTGATCGTGCCCTAAGAAATGGAATCAGTTCAATCTGTTTGACACAGCACCCATTGAAAGGCATCTGTTGAGATATGGAAATGGTACCACTTTCAATTGTTTTCTCTTTTATTAAATCATTTAAACATCACTCTCGTGGAGTGTAATGCAATGGTTTAAACACAGTTAAAAAGTGACTTCTGAAAAGTTGTGTAACCTCACAATATTTTTTCCCTGTGACTGGTTTCTTTGAACTCTTACATATGATTGATGGCATTTCTCTACCACAGAGTTTTCGCAAGTGTTCATTGACTTTTGACAGTCTGTAGGAATCCAAATAGAAAAGGGGCATTTTATAACCCATAAGAATGCATTTACTGTATTATTTTATAGGAGGTGAATTTTACAGCATGAGTATGCAGTGTTTCCCCTGTTAGCCATCCATGTGTTTCTTCATTTTCCAGATTGTACCCAATCTTCAGTTCTTACGAGGACAAAAATATCCCTTTAAATCAATAAGAAACAAAGCTCTAATAAAGAATGCTGAATCAGGCCCCTTACCACCATACTAATTATGCAGTGAACACACAGTACTGTTTAGAGTGGACCTTTCCACGACCTAACCATAACATTAAACTCAGACTCTATTCCAGGAGAAGGCAAGTCTCCATAAAAATTTTATTTATCTTGAAAGGCAAATGCTTATTCACTGCATAACACTGGAAGACATGGTTACTCCTACTTTGCCCTCCTTAAACATCATTAGATAGATGACTAATAATTCTGAACTGTGTCAGTAAAGTCAGTGAGAGGTTTGGTTCTGCAGAGAGCTGAGAATCCAAGTACTTTATGGAGACTGGATGGAAGGAACCTGTATGGGGAGGTGCGAGCTGGTTGGGGAAGGGGGTGGTGATGGTGGAGAAGGCTTGAGATTTATTATCGAAAAGGTCTAAATGTGAAAAGAAAATCTGGGTCTCTCTAGACATCCCTAGTTCTTAATACTTGCAATGCAACCGACACCCTGAAGTAGTTATCCGTACGCCTGCTTATGTATTTCAGTTTTGCGTTTGTGTCTGTTTTTGAGCGTGTTTGCCTGAATGTAGTTTTCCTGGCCCCAGCGTGTGTTTGGTGTACGTGTGCATATGTATGAGTATGAATTAATTACATATTGAAAACATCTGCATTAGCGGCGTCTGCAGTCCCCGCTGCTCCAGTCGGGATGTTCAGCTCGGTCCCTTGGTGTTAGGACCACTCGGAAGACCTGCTCGTCGGACGCCTGATTGTGGCTCCCGGGGGGCCGGAGCTCCAGGAGCCTGTACCATCTCCATCTGAAGGGGAGGAGAGGAGGGAAAGAGGAGGCATCCGAGCGAAGGGGTTCGGTTTCCTGCAGCGGGGTGGGGAGCGGCCGGGGTTGGAGCAGGGCTCCGAGATTACCCTGCAAATCCCCAACTTCAGCACCGCCTCCCGCCCGGGGAGAGGCGCGCGCCCCCTTGCTCCGCCCCCGCCCCAGCCGATGGACCCGGGCGGGTCGGTGCCTCCTCGCTCCGGCTTCCAAGCGAAGCGAGGGCAGGGCAGGAGGGTTCTGACAGCCAGAGGGGTACGGTAAGGAGGAGGTGGAGGAGGAGGAGGAGCCGGGGTGGGGACTGGAGGGGGCGAGGAGGGAGGGCTTCCCCGCCTCGCCCGCCGCCGGGGTGTGCAGGCGCTGCTGGCGGTGGCGGCGTCTCTAGCTCCGTCTCCCGCCGCTGCTGCCGCCGCTGCTGCTCGGGCGCCGGGGAGATGCCGCCCCGCGCCGCGCCGCGCTGAGGCCGTGCGTGCGCCCGCCCGCCCGCCCGCGGGGCTGCGTGCTCTCCGCGCCCCAACCCTCCGCGCGGGCTGACAGGCGGCCGGGAGCCCTTCCGAGTCACGCCGCCCGGCGGCGCGGGGAGCGCTCGCCCGCAGTGCCACCGGCAGCACCGCCGAGCCCGGCGCTCTCCCCTCCGCCCCTGCAGCCCCCGCTCCTCTCTTCTGCCTCCGCGTCCTGTGGTGATCTCCCCCCGCCCCAGAGGGAGAGGGCGGGGTAGGTCCCCTCCTCGGCTCCCCCTCCCTTTCCTTCTTGGTTTGAATTTCTTCCCCTCAGCATTTCACTGGCTCCCGGAGCGAGAGGCAGGAGCCGCTCGGAGGGAAGAGGAAGGCTGCGCCTCCCCCGCGGCTCCCAGCCCGGCCGATCTGGAGCCTGCAGGGGTGCGGGGAGAAGAGGACGCAGCGGGAGGGGTCCGGCTCTCTCCCGCGCCGCGCACAGCCCACCTCCCCGGGAGAAGCCCACGGAGAGACGCGCGGCGTCTCCGCCACGAGCTCTCGGAGTCGCGCGACCGGCCCGCCGACGATGGTGGCGGCTCCGCGAGCGGGCTGCGGGGCAGCGCTGTCGCTCTGGATGCTCAGCAGCCTCCTCTGCAGAGCCTGGACGGCCCCGGCCGCGTCCCGTAAGTAGCCCCGCGCGAGCGCGCGCCGCGCCCCGGCGGCTCCAGTGCCGCATTGAGGTGCCACCCCGGGGGGGCAAGTCTGAGGCGCCTTCGCGGTTCTGGCCCCCGAGGCGTGCGGGTGTCTCCGCCGTCACGCACCGACCGCCACTGCAGCACCGAAACTCCGAGCCCCATGCTCCCGGCGCCGGGTGGGGGGGGTGGGGGTGTGGGGGAGACAGGGCTCCGGAGGCTGGTGATGCTTCTGGAAAGTTGTTCTGGGTCCTGGAGGTGCGTCGGCGACTGCTCGCTTAGAGGGAGTCGTGGGGACGACAGTCTTAGGAGTTATTCTTCGACTTCGGTGTGTTTGTCGTGGAGGGAGTTCGTGGCATTTGGCTTCGGTAGGTCAGTGAGAGAAAAGTGAAGACCAGGGCAAAAATAAGTTTCTTATTTTTATTGATGGTTTTAACTTCAATGAGCACGGATTTGGGGATGAAAGAGGGGCAGGTTTTGAGCAGTTTGGGCACGATGGACTCCTCTTAGCCACCCACCCACCCGGCCACCCCGCAACGACTTGATGGCCATTTAGTACTAAGTTATTGGACCGGGAGGCAGAGAATGCAGTGTTGTAACTGAAATTGCTCTGATTCTTTGTAAGTGAAATTGCTCTGATAATGCAGTCCAGGGCTCGGGACAGGCAGGGCGCACCATCAGCAATGTAGTGATGAACGCGTTTCTTAAGAGTTCTCAGGGAAACGATGCTGTTGAATATGTTTAAGTCTTTGTGTTTTAGCAAGCTTTTTTGAAAAGAAAAGGTGGCTCGTGGTTTCCTGTGGTTAGCAAGAGTAGAAAGACATAGAAGATTCCAGCCCATCTTCTGAATTGCTTTAGAAGTGCCTAGTGTGCATGTAGAGAGGCAATGCCTATTCGTAGCTCCTTTGGTTCACAAAGAGTTAAACGCTAGAGAGATTGCCTATGGGAATCTTAGGATAATATTTCTAAGCACATAGTGCTTGTTTATGAGAATGAGTTACTTATTAAAGAAGAATCGTGGAGATTTTAGTGTGAAAATAACTGTTTTCCATTTAGGGGAAAAAAAAAAAGTTTCGTGTTTTCCAGAATTCATTGTACGTGTGTATTCCTATCTCTGTTTATGAGATCTTGGGAAGCCTTGATGCATCTTAACCTTTAAGTTAATACTGATGTTCTTGTTCCAGGGTAGAAATATTAATAAGAATAACCATGGAAAAAAGGACTTTATAAGTCGTGCTAAAGACTCTACTACACAGTAATGTGATGGGATGAACCAGTATTACAGTTTTAATGTATTTTCCCACCTACTGTATTTGTTTTTCTTTTCTTGCAAGATAGGAAGTCACCAAGTGGCAGTTTGTAATGGACTTGAGAAAAAATTCATAGCTTTTTCACAAGCGGATTAAACCACCAAAAAGTGATATGTTATTTATATATATATATATATATATATATATATATATATATATGTCGGTTTTATATATTTAAACAAATTATGAAGACACAATGCTCAGTATTAATATTTATGTAAATACATAACTATATCCTGATAAAAGTAATTGATGAAATTTCAATTTCCATTTCAAGATCTGGTCATATAGAAATAATTGCCACTCTTTTCAGAAATTGAATTTATTATAAATTAAATTAATTATATTCATTGTTTGAAAGCCCTCATATCCAGGATTTTTCTTGGGTTTTATATTGCATCTTTTTGTATACTCTAATTATAATGGATCCATCTGAAACATTTGACACGTTTCAAGAATTAATAGCATACATGCAGCCACTGGGTTAATGCATTTTAAGAATAGAAGTTGTTTCAGAAACATATTCTTAGTTTTTGCAACTTAGAATTTGGTGATGGGGAAGAGCAGAGAATGTTACTGTTAAGATAGGTAATACTTACATTTGATTAAGATTTATTAGCTCTTATTCTTTATTGTTTAAATATCTAAAATGGCTTAACTAAGATGACTTTTTATTTCATTTGAGTACAAATTGTGTGACTAAAACCCAGTTTCCCTGCATCCCGAAATCAATTAAATAATAAGAATGATGTAGACTTCATTGATAAGAATAAGCTTCATATAATCCGTGCTTTAAAATTAAATTATAATTTTACACTTAATGAAAATGTTTATATTATACATGATTCTGAAAAAGAATGATAGTTATATTCTTAATACTGAAGACACTTAGAGGAGAAAAAAATGGTAACTACATGAATCTAAGATAATGAACAACTCAACCAGGAGAGGTCATCACAAGACAAAAAGTAGCATGAAAATATAAAAGTAATGTTTTTATTTGGTACTCATTTAAGAAAAAATATGATGACTATGCTAAAACTTTCTGTCCCTAAATAACTTTTTAACATGATGGACATTTCTAGAAGATGCGGTTAATATTTTTTCATTTGTTAACAGTACCATTTTAAATATATATTTGCTTCTGGCTTATTTCTTTTTCTCTGTTATTGAAATGTATATTAAAATGGTGTTACTGTTAATATGATGTTTTTTACAACTAGACTAAAACTAAAGAAGCTCATTTCTGGGACTAAATAGAAATAGAATCTAATTGCATAACAGTGCAGATGAGCGGCTGCTGAGCTGATGGAGTCCTATAACCTCCCTTCTTGTGAATACATGTATACAGGACGCACATGTAAAGTTTAAGTAGGAGATTTTACTCTTAGGAAGTTGCACTCGTTTGAACATATTTGAAAGATGCGGACAGTGCAGTTCTAAATGATGAGGAGTTTGAGCTAGCATTTAATGAATTTAACTTACTCTTAAAGTATACTAAATTTTGACTTAAATAGTGCTTTCTGATAAAGTTCATTTATGCTATTTTGTATTATTTTGTATAGGCATTAAACTATGATTGCACTGTCACATTTGAAAAATTTTGATCAAATACTAACAAGTATGTTTCTGCATATATAAGTATATATAAATACAAATGTATATAAATACACAGGTATCTAAAATCCTTTAGATACATGTTACATAATGTATGTTTAATATAGTGTATATAGTATATATTTATTCTGTGTAATATATGTGTATATTTATATATTTTCTTACATGTCTTTTAAGGAGTTAAACCCGCTTAGAATTTTATAGATAGGTCTTTTCGTGTGCAATTATTTCAAGTAACTAATGCAACAATATCAAAACAGTAGTATATTGATCTGTTTTTTTCCAATTCATATACCACTCTAAAATGTTATCTTTGAAATAATTGAAGTAAATGTAAACTATATAAATAAATACAAAAGCAAATGCTATTAGTTTACACTGAGCTTAAACATAATAATAAGCTTGTCTTAATAAAATAAATTTTAATTAAAAAAATGCTTTAGGCCAGCAAAATTCATTGGCTGATAAGAGGCAGTACATTATTTACTTAAACTAAAAAGAGTGTTATTTACTTATAGAAGAGAACTGCATAGTCCTGATTTCTTTGTAGGTACTGATATTTAGGGAACAGGAATTTTTGCCAAAATTTTCTCCCTTAACATTGATGTTTGGCAAAACTGGCTAAAAAAAAGGAATCCCCAAATTCAATATAGGCTTTTATTAACTTTTATACAGTTAAAAGCATATACAACATATCATTTTGAGATAAGTAACATCAAAGTTGTTTGATGCACATTATGTTTTTATAATCACATTTCTATTTTCATTCTAATTTGGAGGATATTTCAAATTCTATAACTTTTTTTAAGATTTTAAATTACTTGTCTTAATTATAAATTCTTCTAGAGTAAGTGCCAATAAGTCTCTAAAAGTGAGCTAATAAGTCTTCTTGTCTGATATATCATTTTTATGACTGAAATATAAAGGGAATTTGATATGCATCCCCTTATCTTGCCACTTTTTTTAATATTTAAAATAAGATTTTATTTGTTGAAAACAATGTATAGAATAAGGAGACATTCTAAGCTCAGAAACTCTTAACTCATCATATCTAGTGTATGATTATCTTAACAGTATCAAAATTCTTCATGTTTTTGTGGTGACCGATGTTGATGGGATGAAGAAATAAAACATGTAACTTCAAAATTTTCCTATATTTGATTTAAGAAGTGCTTTCTTTTGTCATTTATTGCGACTTGTGAAGTTAAAGAAGAGAGTACATAATTTAAATCTTAAAAACTACAATGTTAGGGAAATAAAGTGGATTTCATATTTCTATGTGTATTGGTATCTGAAATTGAACGTTATCAGTATTTCTAGAGGAATACATATCTTGAGATAAGTAGCTACTAGCAAAATAAGACCTTTTATAATCATGTAATATGTGGCCATTGAAAGAAATTGTGTTTATTTTTGTCATTTTAATGTACAAATAATGATGAAATGATCTTCATACAGAGAACATTCCAAATGAGAAACTTAGAATCTGAACAGAATGAGAAGTTCAAACATTGGATCTCCCCATCTCCTGGGATCTGTAGAACTTGTGGTATGTTTTAGTTCTGACCAACTAAAGATGTTGGGATACAGAGGTGCTACCTCTTTTTCCAACCTAGTGTTTTCTTTTATGTGGAGGAAAGTCCATTTGTAGCATTCTCAACCTCTCTTTCTGCAGTTCACTCGTTCCTTCCATGTTAAGTGGAGGGACTTGCCTGCCAGGTGACTTTGGGTTAAGGACCTAGCATAGCTGAGCACCTCCTTCTTCCTTCCGAGCTGCCTGACAAAGGTATAGATTTTAACTGAAAGACATCTAAGAGTAGGTTATGCCTCTGCAGTAATGTGTGTGATAAATGGAAAGCCTTATGGTGTCTTGGTTCTTCGTATGGCTGGAAAGTTTGTTTAATTTCAGAATTAAGCTTAATGCATCCCATTGTTGCCACACAGCTAAGCCCTATTCAGCAATTATTGTGTAAAGGGTGATATTTGCTCTCCACCTGTGACTCCTATTCTAATCTAGAACTCAGGCAGAAAAGAGAGTGCACTTCATTGTGCCCTGTCAAAGGC